CCCCCCCCACTATAGAAGGTAAAGGCATGTCCTCCTAAATTAGACCTAGTTAAGTTTTTACAATTGCTACTAAAAATGAAAGCGCTGTTATAACCAGTAACGTGTCGATTTCCTCGGACATCCACATTGTGTTTTCACCCCGTGTGTGTTTACTGCAGCACGAGCCTGCAAGGGGGAGCCTGGCTCGTCTCTGTGTCTTTCCCCCGGGCGGCTAGATGCCAGTAGCTGCTACAATGCTGTAAACAATACGATTAATAGCCCATGACTCATAACCATCTCCAAACAAGCCCTGCAGCGGCCGTCTGTACCCTTTAACGTGTCACCTCCCTGTAATATCCCCCCCCTTCTCCTTCTCTAATACAGTGCTCAGCTTTTTCTTTTATAATGGCTACATATAGGAAAACCCCATATGGTAGTCGAGCGCTCTGTAATCATTCACACTGTGCTCCAAATTGCAGTATTCCCAATATAATGGCAGTACTAATAGGCAGCAGCATAAGGGCTATATTGTGACAGAATCGCAATTAGAAAGAAAATAGTTGTGTTGGTCCGCAGTGGCAAATCTGCAAAATGGGTCAAATGTTTGCATTTCTAGTGGCTCGCCGCTTTATGCACATGTTCTTCGTGGCTGCCATTGATTGAATTAGGAGTCTTTCACCTTCTCTCTTGCTCATTTCAGACTAGGCTAATCAAGTCAGACCAGCGTAATTGAGCAAGCTAGTGTCTTTTACATTACCCGAATAGATTTTATGGTTATTGGTCCAACGGAGAACACTTTACATTCAAAATAAATGGAGAATGGAGTGCTATTCACTATGAATTAAATACATAATTTCTAAATGCTCTACCCACATTCTCATATCAGTACGAGTGATGAGACAAATGAAAGCGTTCACATCAATTTCAAAACTAAATTCACTTTTTTCACTGAGTTTAACAAAAGGCCTGTTTGACATAGCGTTAAGCACCAAATTAGGAAGGGAAAATAAAGGGAGGGAGACGCAGTGTGACGGGAGTTTGGGTTAGATCTGCAGTAACAGCGACTGGATGTGTGAGACTGTAGCCGTTTGTGAGCGCTCTGTGATTTGTGCGTTTAGTTCTTCTTGTCCTCTGAGCATCTGGCTCTCATCCACCCCAGCTCTTCCAACATCACTGCAGGACACTTCAGGGGGAAGGAGGCCAAGCGTTTTACATGTGTGTGTTGTGTGTAGTCTCTAAACTATCATTTGCCCCCTTTCTCCCCTTTTATTCGCAATGGTATCCCCGCTGAGCTGCATTTGTTTTCTCCTTTATTTCTTCTCTTTTGCTTATTCCCACCCGCAGTGTAATCGACTGTCAGACAGTCGGTTTAGGACACGTCTTAGCCAGACAGCTGTACGGACATACGAGAGCCGTGTTTCTGAAATAGCGCACGCTGCACATCCACCCCCTGCTATTTTTGAAGCAGCCATTGATAGTGTGGTCAGAATATCAATCCCTGAGGCAGGAGACAGAGAGGTAACACGCAGAAAGGAAAGTGGACCAAAGCAACATTTTGAAGCTGGTATTGGTTTCTTTATTATTGGAAAAACAAGACATGACAATTACTGTACACTTTAGTTGTCGTTGGTAGAAGAAAGTCATCAGCTTGACGTGGCTCGCTGCCATTACAGTGATTGTGCTGAAGGCGTCCCAGCAGAAGGAGCTCCTGTTGTCATCAAAGCATAGCTACAGCTGGTTGAAGGGGACCAAATCCATTCAAGAGGTGATTTGGTTCCATTTTACCAGCTTTAGCAAAGCATTGTGGAATCACTGTTTCACGGACGGACATGGGAAGTGCTGTGGAGGGAAAGTGTCTCAAAGGCTCTGCTGCAGTAGTTTTCAGTAGTATCAGAAAAAGGC